AAATAAATAATCAGAAAAAAATAATAGTGGGCCAAGATGCGTTAAAAAAATATGCAAATCTAGTTCTGCAGAAATATTCTAATTATCTCAGAAGTTGGAATATCGAAGAGCGGAGCTCATGCCAAGGCATAGAAAAAAAATCTCAATATTTCGTATACTTTAGCCGGAAAGCATATCTAGAATGTCCACTATGCAATCGCATACACGACAAAGATCAGCGGTGGTTTGGTCGTGCATATGGTAATGGGTCATTCGTTGTGAAATGTTTCCAACAAAATCGAGATGAACGGGGGGTAATTTTCAATGACCCATCTATTGCAGAAAAAGTCCAGCAAAAAAATAATATTCCACCACCCGTTATACGTAAGGTAAAGGGCCCGAAATTTCCATGGCCTTTCTTAGAAATGCCAGCTTGGTTTAATTGTGATTCCCCTCTTACTGCAACAGAAATATATGAGGAGCAATATGTAAAATCTTTACCCGAGGCGATGTATATGTAGGATCACCTTGGGAGACGGGAAAAACTTATACGTTAGAACACCTTACTATTCCCGATGGTATAAATTTGCTTGCTTTATCTACACGGCATACTTATTCTAGTGCTGTCACTACAAGGCTGAATCCCAAATCATACTGTGATATCGATACTAAAGATATAAACCTTCCAGATCATCAAAGAGTAGTATGTCAAATAGAAAGTTTACATCGCATTATTAATAAATGTAAATGTGAGAAAAAATGGCAAATGTCCTCCAATACCACATGATTTATGGCTAGATGAAGTAGTATCCGTGAATAGTCACGCCCACACTCGCTTAGCAGGGCGATCGAGAGATCATTTATATAAGTTAATCCAAGATGCAAGACGTATTATTGTTATGGATAATGATCTAACTAATCTTAATATAGAATGGATTAAAAGCCTCCGTAGGAACAAGCTTTTCTCAGTTATCCATAATACTTACCAGCCCCAGAAAGGTAAAACATTCCGCTTAGCTCCTAATAAAGAAACTGTAT